TGTGTATTGGGTAACTGACATATTATAAACTTTGGCATTGAACACTACTTAAGCTATTGTCTACATTGCATTTATGTAGCCAGATTAATTCAACAATAAACATTTGTTTCTTTTATCATGTTCCAAATATAGTGATGATAGTTGTGAACATAAAAGTGAAACACATAGTCTTTCCCTCTAAAATACTAAAGTTTGTTCAGCTTGGTGACTCAGGCCTAGAATCCTAGCACTCTGGGAAGCAGAGACAGAGGATTGCTTGAAGCCAGGAGTTTAAGACCAGCCTGAGCAAGAGTGAGATCCCTTCTCTACAAAAAATAGAACACAATTAGCCATGTGTAGTGGCATGTCCTTATAGTCCCAGCTACTGAGGAGGCTGAGACAGGAGCATCTCTTGAGCCTAGCAAGTTTGAGACTGTAGTGAGCTGTGATGATGCCACTGCACTCTAGCCAGGGTGACAGAGTAAGACTGTCTCAAAAAAAGAAAAAAGTACTGAAATTTTAGGGGCAGAATAGTACATAGATAATCCTTGTGTTAGAATTGCTCCTCAATAATACCTGTCAAACTGCTACTTAGTTTATTTTCAAAATCTAAATCAGATAATATTTCCTTTGGGAAGTCTTCCCTAAATCCCCAACTTGTAGAACGGTTAATAATTAACAAATCATTTCTTTGTGTTTCCTGTGTATATTGTCTCATTTGCAATCTGGATTATTTGTTGGCCTGGACGTTTCTCTCTTGGTAGAACTCTGATAGCATGGACTATATTTTCTTCATTTGCCGTCTGTAGTGCCCAGTACATGATAGACTCTTCAGAACTGTTTGCTGCGTTCACTTGAGTGTCAGTATAATGGGGCACATGCTATACTATGGGGAAAGTTGTGCACAAAGCATAAGGACACAGAGAAATAATATACATCATAACCTGTGGGGTAGGGATGGTTTTTAAAAGGAGATAATGTTTAATTTGATTTTTGAAGGCTAAGAAGGACATAGGTAGGGAAAACTGTTTTAGGCAGAGAGAATTGTAAGTCAAGATGGCGGGAGATGACAGAAAGTCCAGCGTTTTGTTGATATAAGTAGTCCAGTATGATGAGACCATACAAAGCTAACAGAATGGCTGGAGATGACGCTGGAGAAGTAGGAAGGGGCTACATCATCTGGTACTCTCCAGTGCCTTCTTGACATTTTGGGTTTACGTCTATCTTAACAATTATGTTGCTGGGTTACAGTGATCTATGTCTTCACAGTAGTTCCCATTAGATTGTAAAGTATATGAAAACTCTGGCAAAGGCCACTTTTATTCATATTTGCACCCCAACACTAGAAGAGTGTCTTGCAGAGAATAGGTGCTAAAGAAATGTTGAGTTTCAACCTTTGGACTGAGTTTCTGGGCTCTTAAGGCTTATGAATCTCAATCACCAAGAAAAGCTCAACTTTATCATCTTCCTGAGTGATTACAGAAAGATAAATTGAAAATTGAAGAGCAAGAGGTCAATCTATCTGCCCAGTGGTTAGCATTTTATGATTTAGATAAACTATTTGATGATTATGAGTGAGAGCCTAAAATTTTGGATTCGGGTCTTATTTTCAGTTTTGTGTCTTGTCAGGGTTAAGAATCATCTCAGTGTGCTGTGAAGCAGAGACCAAGATCATCACTCGTTCTTTCCTAGATACTCTGAGATTTATCTCAAATTCACATTCGAGTAACAGGGCAGTGTTGGGGGTGGCAGGCAAAATGTTTCTGATCCTTGATTGGGTTTCCCTTCTTCTCTCTTTCATTTCTGCATGTGGATTTTCTCTGTGCTCAGGCCAATGCATCAGCAGATCATTGGTCTGCAATGGGGATTCTGACTGTGAGGAGGACAGTGCCGATGAAGACAGATGTGAGGACTCAGAAAGGAAACCTGTCTGTGATGTAGAAAAACCCCCTCCCAATATAGAACTTACCGGAAATGGGTAAGGTACTGGGCAGCTTCCTTGAGTACTTCAATGGATTGTAGTTTTAAATTTTGTTTTATTTTATCTTATGGCTCAGTGAGTCCAATAACAAATTATCTAATAGCAAAACCTTCTCAGTGGCTCCGAGCTCTTTTCCACCTCCTAAAACAACTTTGTTTTATTTATACCTGTATACTGATGGATACATGTGGTAAGATGTAGAGTGATTCATTGTCACTGGGATGGTCCTAGTTTTAGCACTAAAATTCCCTCAGTCCCAGGGAAATCTGGACAGTAGTTCACCATATTGGGGGTGTCAGTGTGTGGGGAAATGAGAGAGTGAGAGAGAGAGAGAGAGAAAATAAGTTAATTTAATAATGTGGGGCTATTCAAGAGAATGAAGACACAATAGGTTGGAAACAGGGAGAAAAGAGAAAAATAGTATGTTGTCATACTCAGGCTGAAAAGTAATTGCCTAAACTTGCTAGAATGTTTATTTTCAAGAGAAGTTGAGAGAAACCTGTTTGCTCTTTCCAAAAGAATTCTGAGTCTGGGCGCTGTGGCTCATGCTTGTAATCCTAGCATTCTGGGACGCCAAGGTGGGTAGATCATCTGAGCTCAGGAGTTTACACCTGAAGTAGATTGAGCTCAGGAGTTTTGCCTGAGCAAAAGCAAGACCCCTTTCTAAAAAATAGCTGGGCATTGTGGTGTGCGCTTGTAGTCCCAGCTACTGGGAGGCTGAGGCAAGAGAATCCCTTGAGCCCAAGAGTTTGAGGTTGTAGTGAGTTATGACACCACATCACTCTACCAAGTGCATCAAAGTGAAACTCTGTCTCAAAAAACAAAATACAAACAAAGAATTCTGAAGAACTTTTAGTAGTCATCTAACTTAAGGTTTCCAGGCTTTAAAATAATCTACTTTAGAGTTATAGATGTGATTTTTCTTTAAGATTTTGAAATTTACTAACAGACACACAGGGTGAAATTACTTTAGAAAGTATACCATTCAGCAAGAGGCAATTAGTTGAAATTCATTGTTGAGCACTCTCTGTCCTGAAGAGTAACCTTAGTTGTGTCATTTTTGTCTATAGTTTCAATTCGAAGCTAGCTGTTGCCATAGATACAACAAAGCTGTGTGTTTCCCAAATTTGTTCTAGGATGAAAGGATGTTGGATTTTCCCAGCTAGTAGTTTTAGCTATTACACCAAGCAGGGGAAGCTGGATAATGTCTGGTGTGCATTAAGCTGCTAGTCTCTGTATTTGAACTCTCTCAAAGAATTGCTGAACTTAATGCATTTTGAGAATTTCTAGAGTCCTCTAATAATGATCCCCGCTCCTCCCAGCAAATGTTATTTCTGGTTTTTGACTGCCTTTTCTTTCCTCCCTGTGTTCCTCCTCCTTCTAACAGTTACAATGCCCTCACGGACCAGTTTAGGAACAGAGTCATCAATACCAAAAGTTTTGGTGGTCAGTGCCGCAAGGTGTTTAGTGGGGATGGAAAGGATTTCTACAGACTGAGTGGAAATGCTCTCTCCTATACATTCCAGGTACTTAATTACGTTAATTACTAATTTCTGCTTTGTGAATTATCAGTGGTCATGCTGACTTTTTGATGTTTGTTAAGAATTTACCTATGACCTAATATGTGGTCAATTTTTATAAATCTTCTATGTGGACTTAAAAACATGAACATTCTTTAGCTCTTGGGGAAAGGGCAAAGACACATTGACTTTGTGTCATTCAATAATACTTTTATCCTGTGTCATTCAAGATGACATATTTTTATGCCTCATTTTCAATTCCATTTTATACGTGGGCCCAAGACATTGCTCTCCGTCCCTGTATGGGGGTTAAAACTCAAGACCCTGGCCATGACTGGTAACAATAATCTCCTTGTATTGCCACAGTGTCAACTCATTTGAAAATGCTTTTATTTTAAAGTCATGAAATATTTCATCTGTGTAGATAATGTATATATGTAGTCTGGAATAAACTAATAAAATGAATGCCCTTAGGTGTCCACTATCCACTTTAAAATTAGCATATTGCTTAGTGACTTAAAGGCTCTGCTGTGTTCCTCTCTGATCAAGTCCCCCCTGCACCAGTCAAGCACTATCTTCTTTGTATTAATCATTTCCTTGCTTTTATGTTAATGTTTATTTTCTATATAGTTTTGTCTCTAAATAGAAATTTGTGATTTAGTTTTGCCTTTTTCCATTTGTATAAATAGTATATATTCTTCTATCACTTATTTTTTTCACTCAAAATTATGATTTTGAGATTTATTCATGCTGATGCAGGTGGCATTTTTATTGCTGTTCCCAATTTCTTCTTACGAAAATGCTTTGAACATCCTTGTGCATGAGTCCCATACAAATGAGCTAGAGTTTCTCTAGGGCACACACCTGGAACTCAAATCACTGCCTTGTAGATAAGCATATACTAAACTTTACTGGGCGAAGTTTCCAAAATGGCTGGATGAGTTTATACCCCCACTCGCAGTGTGGGAGAGCAGCTTCTACTCCGCATTCTTGTCAATGTTCCTATTTCCTGACTTTTAAGTTCTGCTTATGATTTCAGTATCTCCTCTGGTTCCTGGCTGTGTTTCTTGAATGCTATTTCCCATCACCCCCACCTAACCTTATCCTGTTCCCCAATTTCAACACAGAGTCTATGGACACATAATAGTTGTGGCTTTAGGGGACTTCCCTCAAGATTGGAGAAGATAGAGATTTCTGTTGCCTTAGTACACACACATTCAAACAACAATGGTTGGCATCCTCTATCTTAAAATACCCTTCCACAGCCTCAACCAAATGAGGTTTCTGGCCTCCACCTGTTTTAGCTTCTTTCTTGAGCTCCTCTTCTACGATCTCCTCTCTTACTCCTTTTCCTCCCTTTTATCTTAGAACTCCGAAAATATTCAATCCAGCTTTCCTTGTCTATTATATTATTCCCAAATGTATAAACCAAACTACTAAGATGTTCAGACAAGAAGGCCTTTTATTTATCCAAATTAATCCTCTCCAGAAAGCAGTTTGGATTATAAACAGCACACTCCCCATCCTCCAACTTACAACAGAATAAGTTAGTTACATTTAAAAGTGATTGAATCATAAATACGAGGAGTAAAGCAGATTTGAAAAATAATCACAGCTCCCTACTTTTTAATATCTACTGTGGTATGTGGATCCCCTTAGGTGGTTAGCATAGGTTTAATCCTCACAACAGCCTTGGAAGGTAAGTAATATCTTACTGTGTTTTTATATGTGGAGAAATCAAGATGCACGGGACTTCATCTGACTAACTCTACAGGTCACTATATTAATAAGTAGTAGAATTTGGATTCAGGCTGTCCGATATCACAAGTCTTTATTTTTCTATTACGTTTTACTCTTCCCCATGTATGCATTTAATTTCTTTTTCAGCTCTAAGTTTAACACAATGAATACTACGTATAGCACTTTAACTTTTGGCCAGAAAGGAGACGGTAAGATAGACCTATCTAGAGAATTCCCCGTCCCATTCTGAGAAGGATGTGTTGCTAGTTCTTTCATACTTAAATGGGGAGCATTGAATGTACATTTCTGAAGGGTCAAATTTGAAAAGTTTCAGAGAAGAGAAAACGAGAAAGAGGAGGGTTTCTGCCTTCCCTGGAAGGTGTACATGCAGGGAGTCTGCCCTTCTGAGAACAGGATAATGGAATAACAGCATGATCCTCATGTTCGTTTTCCTCACCAGGGCTTGCTTTTCGGATTGATCTCTGAAATGCCTTTCTAGTCACCGAATGGGAAGGTGTTTGTCAGAGTAGAGAAAAATCATAGCCTGTTACTCAGTGAGGAACAGAGATGTTTTGAGAACCCAGTCTGAGAAAAGTGAGATGGAAGAAATAGGCAATAAGTTTCTTCCCAGTGATGGAAGAAATAGGGGCAGTCATCTAAGTGCTACTCCCAGAGGTGGCTAAGGAGCCCGCCATGTCCCCCGTAGTTCAGATATGTTGATCGAGTGCCCAGTGGGTATTCGGCTCTCTGTGAGGGGGAAGATGACTTTAGCCTTATTGGAACATAAATATTAGTAAACCCTTATACAAAACGAAATCAGTCGATCTCTCTTGTAATCTCTGTTTTGGTTTTCAGCATTATGGTTTATCTAGGCAAACTTGGTTTCTTATCCACCTACTTTGGTGTCTGTTTACTTATATTTTGTTGTTATTGTTGTTTTGAGACAGAATCTCTTTCTGTTCTCCAGGCTAGAGTGCTGTTTTCAGTCTAGCTCACAGCAACCTCAAACTCCTGGGTTTAAGCGATCCTCTTGCCTCAGCCTCCTGAGTAGCTAGGACTACAGATGCCCACCATGATGCTTGGCTAATTTTTCTATTTTTAGTAGAGATGGGGTCTCACTCTTGGTCAGGGTTGTCTTGAACTCCTGACCTCAAGTGATCCTCTGGCTTCCACCTCTCAGAGTGTTAGGATTACAGGCGTGAGCCACAGTGCCGGTTGTGTTCACTCATACTTCTTATATAGCAAGGAAGGCCTTTGAAACCTAAGTACCTTTTTGCCCCGTGGTTGCTTGGGATGGTCCCAGTTCAGCTCAGCTTGAGAGATGGCTGGAAGACTGTTGTTTGTTCTCAGCATGTGATGAGTTGCAGAGGAGAATGAGTTAAAGATCAAGTTGGAGTCATTTCATGGATTCTGCTATATTTGGGCTTCTTTATTTTTGAAGAGAAATCCTAGATAGATATCAAAACATATTCTAAAGGCAGTTTTAACCATGCTAAATTATTGGAGCCTTCGTTTCCTCTGTTGGTATGAGGACTAGTTACCTGAGATTTCTAAAGCTATCTTGTTAATTAGAAATAATTTGAATGATGATACAAGACACTTTAATATACTCAGCATTGTTCCAAGGATCTTTTTCCTTATAATAACCCATGGAAGTAGGTACTATCATCTCATTTTGCAGGTGCTGAAACAGAAGCACAGAAATGGTAAATAGCTTACTCATAGTCCTAGAAGTGATAGAGAACAAACAGAGGGTTGGAATCCTGCAAGTCTGGCTCCAAAGCCCCCTCTTAACAGTACTCTACTCTGATGGGAGTAATATTATACACATATATGTATTATATGTATGTAGTACAGTGTGTGTATGTATATACAGTAAAGATAATTACTATCCTTACCTCTATATCTATCTTTATCATCAGCCTCTATATACAGAGGAGTGAGGGACAGGGAGAGAGAGGAAAATGAAAAAACAAGAGGGCTAGAGGGACACTTCTGAATAACTGAATGAAGTCCATACTGGCTGGATTACAGAGTAAAGTGTAAAGAGTTATAAGAAATAAGTTTATAGGCTTATAAGTTTATAAGTTTATAGCTCAACCGGCTAAGGCGCCAGCCACGTACACCTAAGGTGGCGGGTTCGAATCCCCAGCTCGGGCCCGCCAAACAACAATGACAGCTGCAACTGAAAAATAGCTGGGCATTGTGGTGGGCACCTGTGGTCCCAGCTACTTGGGAGGTGGAGGCAGGAGACTCGCTTGAGCCCAGGAGTTAGAGGGTGCTGTGAGCTGTAATGCCATGGCACTCTACCCAGGGGGACAGCTTGAGACTCTGTCTCAAAAAAAAAAGAAATAAGTTTATAGGGCCAGGCGTGGTGGCTTATGCCTGTAATCCTAGCACTTTGGGAGGCCAAGGTGGGTAGATTGCCTTGAGACCAGCCTGAGAAAGAGCAGGACCCTGTCTCTGAAACTGGCCGGGCATTGTGGTGGGCGCCTGTAGTCCTAGCTAACTAGAAGGCTGAGGCAAGAGAATTGCTTGAGCCCAAGTTTGAGTTGCTGTAAGTTGTGATGCCATGGCACTTTACCGAGGGTGACAAAGTGAGACTCCATCTCAAAAACAAACAAAAATAATAAGTTTATGAGTGATCAGAAAATATTTTTAAAAAGACTTTTTTTTTTGGTTGGTTAAGTAGTTTGGATTTCAAAGAGCCATTGCGGTGGCGGGGGGGGGCAGAGATACTGCATAATTGTCATGTTCTGATTTGGTTCTAGAAAAAAAAAAAGAGCCATTGGGGAGTTTAAGAAGGGAATTCTGGCTGGGTGCAGTGGTTCATTTCTGTAATCCTAGTACTTAGGAGGCTGAAGTGGGAGGGTGGTTTGAGGCCAGGAGTTTGAGACCAGCCTGAGCAACATAGTGAGTGAGACCTTGTCTCTATGAAATATAGGAAAATTAGCTGGGTGGAGTGGCTGTGCCTATTGTCCCAGACACTCAGGAAACTGAGGCAGGAATGTTGCTTGAGTCCAGGAGTTTGAGGCTTCAGTGAGCTGTGATGGGCTACAGAGTGAGACTCTGTCTCAAAGAAAACAAAATTCTATGATCCTACTCTATGAGCAGTGGAGAATGAATTAGAGCAGTGGCTCTTAACCTTCCTATTGCTGCGACCCTTTAGTACAGGGCCTCATGTTGTGGTGACCCCCAACCATAAAATTATTTTCACTGCTACTTCATAACTGTAATTTTGCTACTGTTATGAATCTTAATGTAAATATCTGATATGCAGGATGGTCTTAGATTACCCCTGTGAAAGGGTTGTTTGATCCTCAAAGGGGTTGTGACCCACAGGTTGACAATCACTGAATTAGAGGATCCATTGGAGGATGACAGACTTAAGGAAAGAAATTTGGTTAGAAAGTTGTTGTGATAACCTCCATGGGACATGGTAATGACTTTCAGAAACTTGGTTAATGATTGATTATGGGGGATGATGGAGAGTGAGCAGTTGGGGATATGAATGGCTTCCTGACTTGGACCAGGTGAAAATATAATTAACTGAGCTGAGTAAGGGCTAGTTTGCAGGAAGAAGGCAAGTTCAGTTTAGGTGCCTGTCCAAATGCTCAGGAGGAAGCTGGGCCAGAGATATGCATTTGGTGGTTATTAGTATGTAACTGGTGACTAGAAAGAGTGATAGAGATGCCGTAGAGACTCTAAGAAGGAAAATCCAGAGAGAAAAGAAGAAAACCAGGAAGCCAACAGAAGTGAGAAGTGTTTCCAGAAAGAGAGAGCAGGAACAGTGTTGAATAACGTTGGCAGAAGTGTCACCATCTGGTGAGATAAGAGAGATGCTGGCAACCTTATTGGAAGTCAGGTGGAAGAGTGAATGGGAGGTGAGGAATTTAAGACAATTAAGGTGGTAAGAGGGAAAAGCAGGAAATTTGCTAGAGAGGGAGTGTGTATTAATAGGAAAAGCCTTCCTTTCTTTAGTTGGTTGGTTGGTTTAGAATATGTAAAAGTATTGATAGAAACAAGCCAGTAGAGAAAGAAAATTTGAAGCCATAGGAGAAGGAACAATCAACCAATTTAATCCATTTTTTGAAGAGATTGGAGGGAATGTAACACTGGCAGTCCCTGAGTTACAAGCATCTGACTGATGTACAACTTACACTTATGAACAGAGGCTATTACAGGTAATAGGTAAATCTACCTCTTCTAGCTTGCATACAATTCAACTTAAGAACAAACCTACAGAACCCATCTCATTCATAACTGGGGGATTGCCTGTGCAGAGAAGAGATAGAATTTAGTCTAAGACAGGAGGCGGGTTACCGATGAAGGGAAAGAAGGAAAGAAATGTTAGTGAGTGTGTAGATTTGCTAGCTGGCAGTTTAAGAGGTCTCTGTCTGAAGGTGGGAGTGTTTATAGAGAAAAGGAAAGATCATCTTCTGAGAGTGAAGGAAGGGGCTGTAGGACAGGAGAATTGAGTTGGGAAAAGTCTTCAAAATTTTGCAGAATTTTAAAGTCACTATTACACAGAGTGGGAGGGAGCAAGGAAAGTAGGCAGAGAATAGGCCTGCTGGATGGAGTAGTACTGAGCATTTCACTGCGGGCACAAATCACGACTGGATTTACAGTGGCACCACTCTGCACAGTTGTGAGATTTTGCTGTAGTCCAGCTAAACAGCTTAGCCACAAGCATCGACTAGATTTAAGTTTTTTTCCAGGCAAACATGAAAGCAGGACATCTAAGCAAGGAAGTGAAGTTCACTGGGCCAGAGAATGGTTGAAGTTATGAACCGTGAACCTGAGCTACAGCAGGAAGGAAGTGAAAACTCAAAGTCCTGATAGGAGAAAGAGGGAGAAGGTGAAGAACGTGTTTCTATGAAGTTGCATAATAGAAGGGGCAGTAACGACATGGGAGTTAGAAGAATAAGAGCTGTACGTGTGTAGGATGTTTGAATTTGTGCTTTCAGAGGAAGGATCAGTTTGGGAGAATCCATGATCTAAGCTGGAAGGAGGACAGTGTTAATTAAAGAAAATTTAATACAATCACACTACCTTGGAAAAGATGACTCCTGCAGCTATGATTAGGGTAGAGAGGAGAGAGCAGAGGCTGAGCTAAGAGGTTTATTTACATAAATGAGGAATCAACTATTTGAATTGTGGTTCTAAAGATCTGGAAAAATAGGCTAGGGTTTGTTTTTTTTTTTCACGTTGAAAGAAAGATAACTTTTCCTTCTCAAAAAAGGCAAAATGCTAAATTTTGTGTTTATCTAACAACAAATAGAATTGAGACACTCATGACAGTAGGAATCTCTAACAGCACTTTGAAGAATGCCTTCTTATCCAACAAACTAATGTCACAATGTAATGAAAGTCGTGCTCTAGTAAAGGGTCTGATTAAATCCATCTTCTCTTATCTTCTTATCTTTATTCGCATGCATGCCTAATATTCAATATGGGGTAGGAATAAAAGTCATATCATATTTTCTGGCATTTGGATATATTTCTTTGCCGTCTTTTATGACTGGGCAAGTTGTGTACTTGGATGGGTGTAGTGAACAAGAATTTCATTTTTACCCCCTTTCTCATTTAATGGGACAACATGAGTATTTTGTCTTCATAAGTATCATTTAGGACGACTGCATAATGTTGTCATTTTCTTTCATTTTAGTTCTTTAAAAAAGTGTATCATTTTCATCATTTCCGTTTTCTCTGTGCTCATTTAGGCTTTGATCTCAAACACAGATGTGTATGTACATGCAATAAAAACACAAATGCTTGTGGAAGGAGAGCTCCCAATTTGAATATTTATATAGAGCAGGCACTGTGAGAGAGAGTCTGCTCGTACATTTTGTTTTATTCCCACAGGGACCGACATTGTTAGAAAATTAGTTACCTATAATTTTGAGAGATTTTTACATAAAGATTTAGTTTTATCTCTTGAAAAACAAAAACCTAGACAATTTATCAACCCTAGAACCTGTAGTGACATATGGTGACTGTCTGAGGGGATTGAGAATGGTCCCTTTTAAAGAAGGTATGTGCTCACCTTTTCACTGTCATCCTTTCCAGTGGATGCCTGCAACATTTATGTGACTTGCTAGCCCCCTGTGGGCATTGCTTTTTGATCCTTGATCTAAAGTTAAAATTAAAGGCTAAATCAATGTTTTTCTCTTTAATGAAAGCTGGAACTGTTACTTCTCAGTTAGCCACGTGTGACTAACCTGTTGTCTATTTTAAAATTTTTTGGGGTCAGGCATGGTGGCTCAATCCTGGCCTGTAATCCTAGCACTCTGGAAGGCCAAGGCTGACAGATTGCTTGAAGTCAGAAGTTTGAGGTCAGCCTGAGCAAGAGCAAGACTCTGTCTTTAAAAATAGCTGGGCATTGTGGTGGGCACCTATAGTCTCAGCTACTCGGAGGCTGAGGCAAGAGAATCGCTTAAGCCCAAAAGTTTGGGGTTGCTGTCAGCTATGACACCACGGCACTCTACCAAGGGTGACAAAGTGAGAGTATGTCTCCAAAAAAATCTCCTGGGATGGTTTTTCTTTTACCACCTAGCACAGGAAAATATCCTATTTTAACATTTATTCAAGTCAAACAAAATTAGAAAGTTAAATTTACTACCGGATCACATAGAGAATTCTGAAAGAAAGTCCAAAAGTTCTGATGGCTTTCTATTACCTATTTGCAACTCTATCCCCCTTTATTACAAAAAAATATCAAGAGAGAAATGCTTTATAGTTGTCTGTTAATGAAGTTTTGTTAATTTGCTCACTTCTGGGCTAAATGTTGACATTAAAGGAATGTAGAAGTTGTTTATATAAAAATGTGTTTAGTGAATCACTTGGGACTACCACTATTGATACCATATTTCCTATTTAACAAAGAGCAACTGTAGAAGGAATTCTTTCCTCATGTTTACATAGGCCAGGTCTCAATGACAGTCACATTTGTTTTGTATTAACGAAGAGCTTTGTCTTTTGTGGAAGAGCGTATGAAAGATGTTAAAAGATCCATGACAAAAATATAATGGGTATATCCAAGCCTTAATTTGGTCATAGCCAAATCTTTCATTTCCTTTGTAGGTGAAAGTAAACAATGATTTTAATTATGAGTTTTACAACAGTAGTTGGTCTTATGTAAAACACACATCGACAGAACATACATCGTCTGCTAAAAGGCGCTTCTTGTTTAGTTCTTCATCATCTTCTTCACACAGTTATACTTCAAATACCAATGAAATCCACAAGAAAAAGGTTAGTACAAATTATCAGCTAATTTTTCCATGTTTTACTGGGTTTAAGTATTGCTTACATTGACAAAAGTGTATTTATCAAAAGGATCAGGTTTCATTTTTAAATCAGGGCAAGAGTACCTCCTTTAAGACACAACACATTTTTTTTTAAACAGGTAAAATATCACTTAATTAATTCTTTTTGATAATACATTTATACTTTTAATTTTCTCATCAAAGTATTTTTTCTTATTTGAAAACCTTGAAAATATTATTACTTTGAAACCTTCTGTTTTAAATTACTCTAAGTTTCTCCTTCATAATAACTGATGCTGCTATTTTATGTGTTAGGTTACAGATACAATTGTTAAAAATCCAGTTAATGCCATTTATGTTTCCCAAATGCAAATGCTAGAGTTTTTTTTAGAACTAAAAGAAGCTAAAGATTTTAAAGACACCTTATTACCTTTGAAAAACCAAAATTTTCCTCTGAAGGAAGTTAAAAGATTTATTTTTAAATGCTTCATTGTTTTGAGATACAAAAACTTTGATTTCAAGGAAGCTGAACAGTTGAGATGAATGGTACTAACTGATACAGACTTACTGCTCAAGAATTTTTCAGGCTGATCATTATTCACAACCTGCACATTTCTTTCATTCTTAAAGTCAGTAACTTGATTAATGTGTCACCACGGGAGGCATAAGGAATATTGATTTTATTTACTTTATGACTAAGAAGCTGACTGTGGGAATACAAACTGTAAAAATATTTATCATCTCCATATTATATTATTCATACAGTGGGGATTTGGTAGAAGGTAGATCTGTAGTCTACCTTGAATATAATTAAAAGATGGTTAGAAGATGTTTAAAAGATCTCATTACAAAGGAGCTTAACTAGTAAATATAACATATGGGTGATAAATTATGTGGTTACCCTACCTGTGAGTCATTGGAAAGATGTAGACAGTAGGGACATATTATTTTATATGTGTATTTGTGAGATTAATAGTTAATAAATTGAGTCTCTCTTTTTTTTTTTTTTATTTGAGGAAGGCATAAAAACTTGGCCTTGGGGTTTTAGAGGTCAAGTCAGAAATGACGGAGACATCACTTTAATACTATTCCTGTTTGGGACTCCAAAATTTCCTCAGATTGCTTCAAGAAAGTAGGCCCAGAAGAGACCTCATCATGAATCACAAATAAAAATTCATAAAGTGGCAGTTGATGGAGACATTGAACAGGGAACTATTTCCATTTCCTTTTTATCTCCCACCTAAAATTCCTTTTATTCTCTCTTCTTCCCGTAGAGTTATCAATTGTTGGTCATTCAGAACACCGTTGAAGTGGCTCAGTTTATTAATAACAATCCAGAATTTTTACAACTTGCTGAGCCATTCTGGAAGGAACTCTCCCACCTTCCCTCTCTGTATGACTATGGTGCCTACCGAAGATTAATTGACCAGTATGGGACGCATTATTTGCAGTCTGGGTCCTTAGGAGGAGAATACAGAGTTTTATTTTATCTGGACTCAGAAAAAATTCAACAAAGTGGTATGGTATTAAAAAAAAATTGTTACCTAAAGCATTGCAGGGATTTTAATGGGGAAATAGCATGCAGTTAACTTTTGAGCTTTAAAATTTGATAGAGATTTAAATTGCAAAAGAATTCAAAATTGTAAGAATCCATTGTACTCGACTTAAAATCTTACATGCTTTAACAAAGCCTGTCTATTCTTTTTGATAGTGCCCTGAGTGAAATTATTATCATTATTGGATATCTCTAGAGGGTATTGGTTGGACTTTTAGAATAATTTTTAAACTTTTCCATTTCTCAGATTAAACAATGCTTCTCAAGAAAAACTAAATGAGGAATTTACTGATATTTCAGAAATTAAATGTTTTAAAGAAGTATTTTATTTGCCATTTTTATTACTTACGTTCCTTTCAAATATGCTCTGATTATCATAAGCTTGCTTACTATTTAGTTTTTGTATAGCTTAAATTTATTGACACAAATTACATATGTTAGCAATAATCCTTACTACCCCCGAATGAGCTGGGTACTATAATCACTGTCTCACAGATTGAGAAATAGAGACTCAGTGCTATTGTGAGATATATCCAAGGTCACATAGATTGTAAACCCAGATCTAAGTGGCCTCAAAGTCAGCTTCGGTTATTCTTTACATATGTCACTATTGACATATGTATAGCATGTCTATAGATAGACTTCAGATGTGCCATTGAGTCCTTGCATTGTTGACTTCTCATTGAGAACAAGAGACTCATCATCTTGTCCAGGTGTGGGAGGGAGGAAGAAGCATCTTAACATCATTCCTGCTCTCCAGAGAGCACTTGGCCCTGGCTGTACTAATGTTTCAAGTTAAACATTTTCCTCCTAACTTTGTCCTCAGCTAATGCCCACACTTCCTCCTTCATTCCAATTTCCTCTCAAAGATCAGGAAAGATTTTGTTATGACCTTGGAGAAAAATAAGGCTTCTTTTTTTTTTTTTCTTTTCTTCTTCTTTTGCTTTTAAGAGATGGGGGTCTTGCTATGTTGTGTAGGCTGGTCTCCAACTCCTGGGTTCAAGCAATCCTCTTGCCTCAGTCTCTTAAAGTCAGTCCAGCAAATTACAGGTGGAGTCACCCCATCCCAGCCAAGATTAAGACTTCTTTTATGAGATCCAGAAGAAGTCCTGTAGCCTTTTTCATGGGTAAAGAATTGTATCTTTTCTGTGTTTTTCTATGGCCTATTTTCTGTAAGTCTCTACTAGATAAAATTTAACTAGAATTTGAACTTTTCTAATCTCACAGATTAGATATGACTGCATAAGCACAGGTTTTGTTTTAAATCAATTCACTTGATTTTTAAAGTATTAGTCTTTAAAACAAAAACCTGTGTTTATGCAGTCATATCTAACCTATGAGATCAGAAAAGTTCCAATCTTTAAATTCCTTTAAAAGTTCATTTAAAGGAAGTGGGTAGGAGTTTTAAAAACTTTTGAAGTTTGTAAAATTCTTTGTAGTAAAAATTTTAATCAAGCATTTTATGTTTTTCTTAAAAATTGATTTAAAGAGAATCAAAGCTTCTGCATATTACATGTCTTTAAGAAATATTGAAGCTGGGTGTGGTGACTCTTGCTAGTAATCTGACTACTTTGGGAGGCTGATGTGGCAGAATCTTTTCAGGTTAGGAGTTTGAGACCAGCCTGAACAACATAGTAAGACTCCATCTGTACAAAATAAATATATCTATCAGTCAGGCATTTTGGCATGCCCCCGTGGCACAACTTATTTAGGAGGCTAAGGCAGGAGGATCACATAAGCCCAAGATTTTGAGGTTGTAGTGAACTATAATGATGTGACTGGCCTCATGTCCAAGAAACAGAGGGAGATTATAGCACAAAAATTTTTTAAAAATTGAGGCTATTCTAATATAGTTACTAAAATTATATGAGAAAAATATACTTCTACACTTTATTATTTTATGTTCTACTTTAAAAAATACATTAGAAAAACTTTATTTGATAGTGAGTAGAAATTGTTATGTTCTAAGATTATGAGTCATAGGAAGATTTGTGAGCCACAGATTAATATTAAAGGTGGAGAGACTGAGCCAGGAGAGCCAAGGTTTTAGGAATTAATTTTCACAGAATCAAAACCCACCTTTTGGAATCTCAAGTGGGTCATTTGGGAGAAGCTATCATCCTCCCACTTTTGTCTATTTGTTTGATTCCTAAGAAGATGACTGAATGGGTAAAAGATACCACTTTGGGGGTATTCAGTTTCTGCCCCTTCCACTATTTCATGTAGAAATCACTCTTGCCTCCTTCCTTCTATGGCCTAAGCTAACAGAAGGAAAATAGCAAGAGTCAAATATCCCCTTTTCTGAACTTTGACCCTCCTAGAACACTTGAAAATACTCATATCATGTCATTCTTGATTAGATTGCCACAGTAGCAAGAAAAAAACACTCTCCTACCTGGCTACATCTCAAAGGTGGTTTTCAGTATATTGGCCTGGGAAAAAACTTTATGAAGAAGACACCCCTGGAAATTGTAGCAACACCAAATATAAATAACTGGGATTTGATCAAGCTAAAGAGCTTTTGGATAGCTATAGGTACCACAAACAAAGCAAACAGCCTTTGGAATGGGAGAAGATTTTTACATGTTATGAATCTGACAAAGGCCTCATAACCAGAATCTACAGAGAACTCAATAAGAAAGGTGCAAACAACCCTCTCTATAAGGCAAGAGATTTGAACAGAAAACTCTCTGAGGATGACAGACAAATGGCCAACAAACACTTGAAAAAATGCTCATTGTCTTTAATCATCAGAGAAAAGCAAATCAAACCACACTAAGATACCACCTAACACCAGCAATATTAGCCCACATCACAAAGTCACAAAACACCAGATGCTGGTGTGGATGTGGAGAGAAGGGAACACTTCTACACTGCTGGTGGGGTTGCAAACTAATACAGCTTTTTTGGAGAGAAGTATGAAGAATCCTCAAAGATCTAAAAGTAGGCCTTCCATTTCATCCTGCAATCCCTTTACTAGGTATCTACCCAGAAGAACAAAAATCATTTTACCACAAAGAAATTTGCACCAGAATGTTTATGGTCAGTGGCTCAATTCCTAATAGCCAAGTTGTAGAAGCAGCGTAAGTGCCCATCGACCCATGAATGGATCAACAAACTGTGGTATATGTGTTCCATGGAATACTATTCAGCCATTAAAAAAGATGGAGACTTTACATCTTTTACATTTGCCTGGAGGGAGTTGAAACACATTCTTCTTAGTAAAGTACTGCAAGAATAGAAAAATAGTCAATGTACTCAATACTAATCTGAAACTAAGAAACAAGTACATGCTCATATGAACAATAAAACACAAATGTAGTCTAGTATGGGGGCAAGGGGAGGAAGGGGGTGGGAAGAGGTTGATTGGCAGGTGGAGGGAGGGCATATGGTGGGATCTCACCTATTGTGCTCAATGTGAGTGTGTATAGCATGCCTCCTGGGTGAGGGGGCTCTTTTACAATTGTAACTTTACCCTGGAAGTGAGAACAATGTAATCTAAAAATTTGTACCTTCATGATAATTTGAAATAAATTTTAAAAAGAAGGTCTTTAGTCTTTTTTAAAGGATGTCTCTTTTACCTTTCCCCTCCAGGTTTGAGTTCAGTAGAGGAGAACAAATGTGATTCCTCAAATTTCCATTTTGTTTTTACATCATCGAAGCACAAATGCAAGGAATTAGAAAAGGCTTTAAAATCAGCTTCAGGTAAATGTGAAGAGAGCAATCTGCATTGTGAGCTTAACATCTACTCCACTCTCTGGTGGTGCATTCTTGGTCTCCCAGGGCTTTTGAAGCTTTAGCCAGTGCTCTATCCATCTGATCTCTCTGTGTGCTCTCCATCTGATCTCTCTGGCATGTGTCTCAGTGGTGAGACAGCACATTGGGTGGGGTGTTGCTGGGTATCTCCTTTGTGTTGTAAACATGTTCTCAGTGTGCATCGCCTTCCTCCCTTACGGCAGGTGGCAAACAAGCCTAGAAAAGTGACAGTATCAAGGGAAGGTTCAGTTCCACTCTGTGACATGAATACTCAGTGCAAGCAAGGTTGTTGGTGCATGCCAGTGGTGAGGAAGGTGCTAGTCTTTGAGTGGTTGAAGAAGGAATTGGAAGAATAAATTGATCTAGACTGTAAAGTTACCACCTCGAGGAGTTTGTATTTCATTCTGATAGCTACAGGGTCCCATTAAGAGATTTAATATAGGGAGAGATTAAGTAAAAGATTATATAGGTAAAGTTGTAGAGAAAACAGAGGGATGGAGAAGGAATAATCTGATAGGATAAGAAATAGAGTAAGTGGAAAGTAAAGAAGAAGAGGTCAACAGAGTAAAATGCTAGAAAGGTTAACTAAGATAAGGACTGAAAAATATCCATTAGATTTGGTGGTTAAGAACTTGGTTGCTGTAAAAAGAAATTCTATAGTGTAGTAGGTAGGGATGGAGGTGGAACTGCAGTGCATTGTATAAAGCCATGGACTGAGCAGTATTGGGGCTCAAATCCTCCTAGGGCAATGGCAGAAATCAGGGCAAAAGTGAAGACTGACCGAGGTGCCCAGGCTCTCAGTGAGGAAGCAGAGAGTCCTTGCTTCTCTGCTGAGTAGGAGTGCAGAGATGAGTACAAGGTAGATGAGTGCGAGGAGGAGGGAGACAGAGTAGTAAACCAGGTGTCTATACTCTTTCACTTGCTTCATTCATTGGCTACCTATGGAGTTTGAGAAATGTTCCAGGAATAGTTCTAGGTACTAGAGATACTGCAGTGAATATATCAGAGAAATTTCTTGTCTTCAAAGTTGACACATTAGAGGAAGACAAGCTTCTGAATGAGGTGGGAAAATAATGATCTGGACACAGAAAGAAATGTTGACATTAGTCAGAAAATGGACTGGAGATTTGAAACTGCTCATCAATTTTATTTTATTTTGTATTTAACAAACATAGAGCAGTAGCTGGACATTGTGGTGGATGCCTGTAGTCTCAGCTACTTGGAGGCTGAGGCAAGAGAATCGCCTAAGCCCAAGAGCTGGAGGTTGCTGTGAGCTGTAATGCCATGGCACTCTACCGAGGGTGATAAAGTGAGACTCTGTCTCTAAAAAAAAAAAAATCAAACACAGAGCACTTACTTTGTGTCCAGCATGATTTTAAGTGATTTATAGAATATGACCAATATACTCTTCCCACACAAGCATTAGGTATTACTCATATTCTGATGTAACAGATAGAAAAGCTGAGGAACAGAAAGGTTGCTCAAGATCACAGTTAAGTATATGTCAGACATGAGATGCAAATACTTGAAATGTGGCTTCGCGGCCTGGGCTCTTCACTGTTGCATTGGGTGGCCTTTTCCATGGAGGGGATAAAAGTTAGGTTGAATAGAGAGCTCACTGGGGTATGGAAAGGGAAGTTGCAGGCTTAAAAATAATATAAAAACAGATGTTTTTGAACCTTAACCAGGTGGCCTGGTTAAGACAGTGATTCTCAAGATTTAGTATGCCTGAGGATTACTTGGGGAAGTTTGTTAAAATGCTAATTCTAAGACTCATTTATTCTCCCAGGTATTATCCCATAGGTCTTGGTTGGGGCTTTAAAATCTTCAGTCGGTCCAGATGATTGTGATTCAGTAGTTCAGTGGGACTTCATGATACACTGAATATTAAGATAACCAACACTGAAGATGAGGAAGCACTCAGGCAATTTATTAAAACTATCAGACTTTAATGATTTCTGGTAATGAAAGTATGATATACTTATTTTATGAAATTGCAATATTTGGACAGTTACACAAAAGTGAAAATCAATCAAAATTTTATCTGTAAGATTCGGAAATTCTTGTCAAAGTCTGTGTGAAAATCAATCAAAGGGGAGATAATATTTCTAAATTATGAGGCACAAAAATGGAAAAAGGGATTCAATTAGCATTCAAATTTTTCATCACACTTTTCATATGTCACTTAAGGTATTCATGTTAATTAATAGCTTTTTATTTGTTTATTGTTAGTATAACAGATGCAATAAGTTGTTTTCCCTCTAATATTTTATTATGAAAATTTTCAAACATACAGAAAAGTTGAAAGAACATGGATATATAAACACCCATATATCCACCTATATGCAACAATTATTACATTGATATTTTGTCACATTATATATTTAAAATATTATATTTACTGAACAATTTCAAAGTATCAGACATCAACATAATTTTTTTTTTAAACATAGACAGTATCTTCTAAGAAGGACACTCTCCTACATAACATGATACTCCTATTGCACTAAGGACATTAAGATAATATGAACAAGATTTCCTAATGTCATTGACTGTCAGGCAGCAGTTTTTTTTTTTTTTTTTTAAAAACAGACCTATTTCTTAGAGTAGTTGTAGGTCACAGCATAGCTAAGTGGAACCTGGAGAGAGTTCCCGTACATCCCCTCCCCCAACACGTGCGCAGTCTCTCCCACTACCGGTATCCTCCACCAGCCTCCACCAGAATCCAACAGGTGATGAACCTGTTCCACTGATGGATCTGAGTTGACATGTTGTTATCACCCCAAATCAATGGTGTACATTAGGGTTCATTCTTGGTGGTATACACATTATGGCAGCGGTTCTCAACCTTCCTAATGCCGTGATATATTTTCATTGTTACAAAGTGGTCATGACCCACAGGTTGAAAACTGCTGCTTATGGGTTTTGACAAATGTACGATGACATGTACCATGATAGTATTATATGGAATAGTTTCACTGCACTGAAAACCCTCTGGGCTTCTTCTATACACTCCCCTTTCTCCTGTCACCACTTATCTTTCTGCTGTCTTCCTAGTTTGGCTTTTCCAGAATGTCATATGGTTTGATGGACCATTTTTTAGTACCTGATAGATTTCACTTTTGCGTTCTCATTTTCATTTTGTTTGCACATCCTGATTTATTTCATTTGATTTCTCCTGTGTAGGAACCCAGAGCAATACACTAAGAGGGGAACCATTTGTCAGAGGGGGAGGTGCAGGCTTCATCTCTGGCCTCAGTTTCCTAGAGCTGGACAATCCTGCTGGAAACAAAGGGCGCTATTCTGCCTGGGCAGAATCTGTGACTAATCTTCCCCAGGTCATAAAGCAAAAGGTATGTGATGCTGTGTTTAGAGCAGCGGGAAGCTGTCCTGTTTATTTGCACTGGGAAAATGAGATTAAATCAAGGTGGTTAAACAGACAGGCTGTAATTAGCATTTCTGTATCCCAATTATGTTTTGTCTAGTAAAATGAATGTATACAATCACAAGAAACAAAAGGTGTGTTGTGTGGTATGCTCATATTTTAGTTGTAGAGGTCTTGCAAATTCCAAGGGAAATTAATGACTAAATTTGCATGTTTAACTTTTGACCTAAATTTGATTATGTTTTCCTTGGTCCCAAATTCAGAGGAATTATAGATTCTTGCAAGAGGAAGGCATTAAGGCTTGCCTAGGGTGACCAGATTTTAACATTGGTAAAGCGGGACAACATGGCCAGGGAGCTGGGCGGGGGGCGCAGTGGGGGCAGGGCAGGGCCTGACAGCAATGCAAACTTGATAAGCAGTTCTCAGTATTCACTTCTCAACAATTATTTGTTATTATTACAGTTTAACATTATAAAATTAACAAAAATAACATAAAACTCATATTCTGGCGAAATAGCCACATGGGAGCCGAAAACCATCTATTCCCTTCCTGTTCTCTGCCTGTTAGTACATTCTTTCCAAAAATCGGGACTTTTTAAAAATGCCATGGGACATGGGACAAATTGTTGAAAAGCGAGACTGTCCTGCCAAAAGCGGGACATCTGGTCACCCTAGGCTTGCCTGCTATTATGTTGGGATCACCTTTCCTCCTGTGGCCTTGCCCTATGGACTTCTGAAGTCATGCAAATTAAGATAGCACCATATTGGCTGGCGGAATTTTAGGATGTTTTATCAATACCCTTAGTTCTTTTCTAATGCAAAGTATGTGTTTCCAAAAATCACTGAGCTATGCAAAATTGCCCAATAAAGAGCAGAGACTTTTGTGGGGAAAAGGGGGGTGTGGATGTAGCACTCAAAAATATCACCTGTGATACCATCTCAGTAAAAAAGATAAGTGCTTATAAAAGCAGTAGCGTGGCTTTATATACATCACATTACTTAAAAATGTTATCTATGCTACACTAAATGTGGCATATTACTTACAAAAATGTGCTGGAGGGGCTGCAGTTTGTGAGTTATCCTGATGTGGTAGAGGGAGAGTGGCAGGAATCTGACGGCCAGTCGTGACACCAGCTGTGCCGGGGTCTGTTTAGTTTACAACACAGCCAGTGAGCTGATGCAAATGTTTGTGTGTGTGCACACCCATGTGTGCATGGCGTTTTGTGTATTCCTTTGTACAGCTGCGTACAATATTCTGTGTTCACATTGTGTTTCATGTTGATGAAACTGTACACAAAAAACCCCACAAAATCTGTGCCATGCTCAAATTTTTTCCAACATATTAATTTCATTAAAACAAATTCACATTTTCAAAACAAATGTTATAGCAGAACTGATTCTGTGATTTATTCTCTGCCATAAGAACCAGACAATGTCCTAGGCAAAGCCTGCTTTACAGAGACTTGTATACATTTTATATGTTCAAAAAAATTACGATAGTTCCTCAAGTCCCCTCCTAACACCCACTAGCCTCCCAATGAGGGTGAAGAGGGGAAGGTGAGCTTTTCCCGGGCAGTCTCATTTTAGAGTGCCACCTGTCAGTATTCAAAATGGCCTGCATCAATTACCACTATCCCATACAAATCTTTGCAAAGCCTAAATTGTGAATCAGGGAAAAAGAGATACTTTTTCGGTCTAGAATATGGACTGTTCCGTGCAGGACTGTAAATTATCATAGTGGTGCGAACTTACTGGCTGGGCAGGAAAGGAACGGAGAAAGAAAGGAGTCAATACAGGTCTATGCCCATGCAAAGCCATCCTATTCAGAAAAGTTTGGGCTCTCAGGAGCTAGTGGCATACATATCTTCCCAGTTCTGCCTTAGTGACATTATGGTAGCCTGAAATTGGCTGTGGTGAGAGTAGTTGCCCTGCAGAAACCAACAAATATTACAGAGCATAGCTTTTTGTTCCTGGGAGAGCAGACTGTTAAAGTTTAGCCAGTAGGTCTTTGATTTCAAAGTTCCTTTTCTTCTGAAACATTCAACAAAGAATAATAATGTCTACCTGTTTTAAATTTCCCCAGGAGGAGAGGGTCTGTAGTCTCTACTAAAGAGACTTAAATCTCCCAGAGTCAGAAAATTCAATTGCACTTGCTTCTTTACTGTAATTTAAGTGCATTTTCTTTTCTTCTGTCCATTACAGGGGTGGGAATGTGTTATCTTCAAAATCATCTTCTGGTAACCAGAAAATGAATGTCCTTTTTATTTTTTAATTTTATGAATGCACACAAGCTATAAAAAATACTCCTCTCTTATATGATCCTAATTTTTTCTAAGTTTGTCTTGATTTTTGTTACAGAGTGAATTCCTTTCTTTTTCTTTGGACAAAAAACAAATTGTAAAGAACCTAAGAGTGACTTTTGGTTTTGCTTATAATGGGGATTGTGCCTTAATGTGAAAAGAAAAATATTTTTGCCTCGCGTCCTGATTACTGACTCTGATGTTTGTATCTGTCTAGCTGACACCTTTATATGAGCTGGTAAAGGAAGTACCTTGTGCCTCTGTGAAAAGGCTGTACCTGAAACGGGCTCTTGAAGAGTATCTGGATGAATTCGACCCCTGTCATTGCCGGCCTTGTCAAAATGGTGGCATGGCCATTGTTGTGGGGACCCAGTGTCAGTGCCATTGCAAACCATACACATTTGGTATGGCGTGTGAGAAAGGAGTCCTTGTAGGGGATCAAGCAGGTCAGTGGACTGACTTTTCTCTAGTTCCATGGTACACATCAAAAGGAAATTACCCTCTGTGACCCCTGAGATGTGCTTCTTTGTGTGTGGAGTGATTGAAGAAGTCTGATGTGAGTTTAGACTCTCCTCCTTTCATCCCCTCCAGATTAAAGCTACTATGGTCAAGACCTCTGTGCCCTCCCTTCCCTATTCTCTGTTATGGTAGAATTATGGCGAGAACCTTCCTTCCATAGTTGCCTCAGTAAGGTTGTGCTATAACAAAACTCTATAGAGCTTGTGTTTGCATGTCCTAACCTTTTGGATGATGAGCTTTTCGATGTGCTGCCAATCAATCATTTACAAATATTTGTTGAACATCTGCTATGTGCTCAGTAGTGTGCATGGTGCTTCAGGTGCTTAGTATAAGGCTGTGTGAAGTGGGCTTTATGAGTAAGGTACAAGTACCATTTATACACAGTATTTTTATTTTTATTTTTTTTTGAGATAGAGTATCACTCTGTAGTCCTGGGTAAAGTGCTGTGGCACCATAGCTCACAGGAACCTCAAACTCCAGGGCTCAAGTGATCCTCCTGAGTAGCAGGGACTATGGGCACCTGCCACAATACCTGGCCAGATTTTCAATTTTTAGTAGAATTAGGTTCTCACTCTTGCTCAGTCTCAGGCTGATCTTGAACTTATAAGATCAAGCAATCCACCTGACTCAGCCTCCCAGAGTACTTGAATTACAGGCATGAGCCATCACACCTGGCCCAGACATTTATTTTTATATTTATTTATATGTCTCTCTCTCTCCTGGAAAGCTCATTCCTTAAGGTCAAGGCTATTTGATTTCTTTATTTATTCCCAGAGCCTGACATAGGGCTTGATCCATGGAAATAACGACATAAATGTTTGATAGATGAATAAATACGTGACTAAAGTATGGTTGCTTATAGAGCAGGAAGGCATCCTTGTCCCTAAAGGTCTCTCCAAGTAACCTGTCTCGGTAAATTAAAATTCTACCACTGTGATTTGTTGTGTTGTGGCTCGGATCATGATGTTTTCAGCTATTATCACTCACTGTTGATATAATTTATTAAATAAATTAAAATATTTTATTAAACAAATTTCTAATTATAACAGTATAAGGAAGTCATGAGAAATAATGCAAATTGGTCAGTTTGGGGTATGTGAGGGAGAAGACAAGTCATATAAGGCAGAAAGAGCCAAGGAACAGCAGGTGCACACACCTATTGTCTAACCGGAAAGAAAAGCTCTTAGAATGTGGGGCAAGTTCTCTCTTGCCTCCCTCAGGGATAGGATCAGGGAAATACTAGAAGAACTGTGAATCTTAAATAGGCTGTGAGGTAGAAGCTGGTCCGGGTGGGTTGAGGACCTGCCTATAGATTGGAGAGGGAAGATGAGGAGAGGTATAGCTGGTGATTTCAGAACATTTCTCCTACGTAAGCATGTCCTCATTTCGTAGGGTCAGCCCTGGGCTTAGTAGACTGGGAGTACCTAGTAGGTTACATTTTTTTTTTTTCCAAAGTCAGTGCTTTGAATAAAGGAGCCTACTTGCCCTATTGAGAGACTATGATAAAAAGAGCCTAGACTCAGCCAGAAGACAAGGCTACTGTTCTGTTGTGGTTTTGACAGCCATTACAACATTGGGCATGGTGTTTAACCACTTTGCCTTAGATTCCATTTCTTTCTGTTAAAGAAAATGGTAACAAACCTGCCCACTTCCATTCATTACTGTGGGAAGTAAATAAATGATACCAAAGTACACAAAAGGGCTTTGTAACAGCTGTAAAATCATCAACACAGTGAAGATATTATTGTAAGAGGTTTGCTAGTGCGGCCTTCATATGGACATGGCTAGCTGGTGTGGGAAGCCATTCTCGCCCTTGTAGAAAACCTCAGTGAACAGAGGGAAAGTAATCAATCCCCAGAATCACCACCTCCCTAAACAAACACATTGGTGGGAAGCACAGCGCTAAGCCCCGAAGTTCTCCTCTCCCAGAACTTACTGAACAGCCTTTTGGTCTTACAGGAGGGGTTGATGGAGGTTGGAGTTGCTGGTCTTCTTGGGGCCCCTGTGTTCAAGGGAAGAAAACAAGGAGCCGAGAATGCAACAACCCACCTCCCAGTGGGGGCGGGAAGTCCTGCCTTGGAGAGACGACAGAGTATGGGCTGTGTACAGACCAAGAGCTGGAGCACTTGCGGTAATGGAGACCCAACTTCCTGGCAGCCCGTACAACACAGCACCCTTTGTAGCGTGGAATGCATGACCGCTGCTGTTGAGAGTTTTAGAAGTTAAATGGCAATGGTTATCATGACCGCTTTGCCCTTTAGCACTGGGACCAGTTGAAGGAGAAAGGCACTTTGTGGCCAACTTGCCCTGTGGGCCTTGGGTTTTCCTGATGCCCTGTTAGGATGGGCGGGGTAACTGGGAGCAGTCCTGTGGAGTGGACACAGGTGGCCACTTTGGCATCAAGCAGATGCTATGTGACTTTGGGCATGTTACTTGTCACCCCTCTAAAATTAAAATAATAATAGTAGGTAAACTGATAAAAGAATGTCGTCAAATTAACTGAGGTTAAGCAGGTAAAGCTATCAGTACAGTGCCTGACACATACTGAGCATTCCGTAAGTGCTGTGTTACTTTGAAGAAAAGGCACTCCCTCTTATTTATTTTTTATCTTGGCACAACAAGTTCCTGTTTGCTGGGACCTTACAAAGGCTTTCTCAAAACTGCACACATCATGAATCATTTTCCTGGGCCAGAAGTCTTTATGCCTCACCCCGCTGCTCTATACCGTCCTCATTAAACTTTTCTAATCAGACTTGGTGAAAAAGATCTAGTGAGGTAATCTGAAGGTCACGTGAGTTGAAGGAAACAAGGCACATGGGTGCGTGGTGGAAGTGTGGGGAGGTGGGGTGCCTCATTCCTGTCTTTGGTGCCTTGTAACCTGACAACCACCATCATATCTTGACTGAAGAGGCTGCCAAATGAATGGATCCTGGTGGGGAAACAAAGCTGGTGTCAGTGCCCTGGGAGAATCAGGATCCAGGAGGCATTGAAGGAATTTCCACTCTTTCTGGGGCTCAGAGGAGGAGAATTATCTTCCTCTTCAGTACAAACAGTACTATTATGATAAATACTTCACATTTCTATGGTTCTTTGACTGGAATTAGTGAGATGCTATTAGAGTTTTTGTTTCCCTGTCTTTCTTTTAGGCTAGGTAGGATTCCTGCCCCAAACCTTGTCAAAACTTGCTTTCGCCAAAGAATGTGCTATCAGTTGTATATATTTCAGATAAAAGGTAGACACTAAGGTAGAAAGAGCATGATTATAGGACCCTAACTGACTGGGTGTAAATCCAGCTCTGACATTGATTTACTTATAACTTGGATGGGTTATCCAAAGTTTCGGTGCCTTTGTTATTCTCCAGTTGTCTCATAAATTTGTTGGGAGTATGAATTAAGGTAATGCAGAACAACTGCCATGGCGCCTGGTGCATAGTAAATGCTCAATAAAAGGTAGTTTTAATTTTGTGTTACTTCCCTCTTGGGATTACTAACTAATTACCTTATTTTCAATATAGAATTAATTCTATGTTAAATGAATTTCAGAACCAAAGAGCAGGAAAAAGTGGGTACTGAGATAGGGAACCTCTAGACATCATAAAGTAGTTATGTTGCCCAAAGACTTTATTTTTTTTCCTTTTCGTCCTTTTTATTTGTTTTCACACTACTAAGTTAGTAGCTATTTGACTCACTATCTTTGGAAACTTGAGCTTATGTTTGTGTTTGCACCACAGAATACGATCAGATGTGGGATTCTGAAAATGATAAAATTATCACACTAACATACTTAAATGAACAGAGTCCCTTCAGATGCAAAGGAAAAATAAAATGTGATACAAAATGTTTATTTAAACTGTGGAAATCAATCACATTCATTATTTTCATTTCTTTTTTCTTTCAGATTGCTTGAACCTCATTGTTTTCCTTTGTCTTTGGTTCCAACAGAATTTTGTCCATCACCTCCGGTCTTGAAAGATGGATTTGTACAGGTTTGTTATGAAATATATTTTTTTCTTTATAATAATCTAAGTTTTATCTGTCTACTGAGACTGTAATGTATTTTCTTCTTTTGTGGGGAAACAGCACTAAAATATTTTATATGTCCATTTCAGTTTCAGTGGTGAGGGTTTTAGTTCATGACTTCTCTTCTTTGGCCTAAGGTGGTTCATATTCTGCAGGAGGCAGTATATCTTGTGTGGCGTGGGAAACCGATACAGCCATCCAGTGAATCAGAAATATAACTGTGCCAGAGGGCTTCTACACATTGCCACTCTGAACACCAAATACCAATCTATAAGCAAGTTCTTCAACTCAGAGAACTTTTCTTATTTTTGCCACTGAAAGAAGACTTTTCTTGCCCTTATAATTCTGAACTTAAGATAAAGTATACATGGGTGTCCAACCTGCAGCCTGCGGGCTGCATGCTGATTTTGTGAAGACTTTTTTTGCTTATCTGTGTTTTTGGATATCATGAAAAATATGCAGGGACTTTTTTTTCCTGCTAATCAACTTTCCTTAGTGTTCATGTATTTAACATGTGGCCAGTGACAACTCTTATTTTTCCAATGAGTGGAAGAGAAAAAAAAAGTTGAACATCCCTGAATTAGTAAATTTATTCCAGGAGCCAATAAAATATTTAGCAAGTTTCTGGTGAGATGGGGGGGTGTCATTGAACTTTGAGCAATTTCTTGTTTAGGAAGAAATATTGTCTTTCTAGGGACTTTACTTGTCTTTGGGGACATTTTATTTAGTGCTGTTCTCAGTCCTTGTTATAGTGAGGTCTTTGCCCCAACCCCCAGTGAAGGCTCCTCATGGCTCACACATGGAGATACTGTTCATGGGATTCTCTTACTGCTGCCCCACCCTTGCTTTCCTCATAAGGAAATTTACCTCTCAAATTCCAGGCCCTTGAGCACACATTCACTGAGATTTTGCCCAAATGTAGATTGAGAGACAAAAATAGTATGTGTATGTGTGTGTGTGTAGGGAGGGGTGACAGAGAGAGCACATGTGTGAACCTAACATCTCTATACTCATACTGTGTCGCCACAATCCATGGAGTTTCTGGATGAAACATGCTCAGAGAATAGTGTATGTATGTGTGTGTGTGTGTGTGGGGGGTGACAGAGAGAGAGCGTGATGAGCCTAACATCTCTATACTCATACTGTGTCACCACAGTCACCACAATCCGGAATTCCTGGATGAAACATGCTCAGAGAATAAGGCCAAGCAAACCTATGTACTTTAGCAAACCATGAAGCTATTGCCCTAAACTCCATTGCACGTTTAGTTAGTGCCAGGGGTCCCAAGCACTGCTCTATGGACTGGCTACATCAGAGTCACCCAGGGAATTTCAAACCAGAGATTGCTAGTTGCCCTTGTCCTCCACACTTTCTGATTCTATAGGTTTGGGGTAAAGCCTGGGAGTCTATTTTTTACATTACTATGAGAGGTTCTGATACAGAGCCAAGTTTGGATGCTGTTCAATTAGACTTCCGTATATACAAGCACATTTTCTCTTTGTAGAGAAAGGCATAGGGCTTGACTCAAAGGAGAACATGTGTGCTTCCCTGTTCTCAAACCTCAGCATCAACCTGGGTCTCTATGTCCTACCATCTTCCATGGTGGCACCAGACTGGGCCAAGAGGAGCAAGATTGACAATGAGAAGAAGGAAGCACTGGGAGATTTCGTTCTGATTCCTTGAGCAGGTCTGGTCTAGGTGCCAGTTCCAACCACTCTCCCAGCTCTGAGTTTCTTCACCATTCCCTTGTGTATCAGAAGGGTAAGGAAAAGAACCAAGAAATACCCCAAATAAGCATGGCTACCTCTTTATGGGTTCAGACTTTAAACTTCTTCTTGCTTTGCTATCAACAACCACATTCTGTCATATTAGGTTAATGAAATGTCTTTGAATCTGACCTGGCCCCAGCAACTTTCCATACTGATAGATTGGGGCTGGAAGGTAGAAAGGGAGAAGATCAATATATGTTTCCCTTAAAAATCATCAGTGAGAACCTTTAGTTGACATGCTGATAGGATCTGAATAGTCCTGCTGGCATTTTTAAAGGCAGCATTCCCAAAAAACAGCCCATGTTACCTTAATATGAAAAGTTGATTGACAACAATATTCCCCAAATCTGATAAAACCCTGCTTTTTCCTATAAGTAAAAAAGGAAGAACTTATTTGGACAGTGTTCACTAAAGTAATTTTAGTAAAATGGTCAGTATAGTGCTTGGTATTTCAGGAACAATCAATATGTTATGGTGCAGTGGCATTAATGACTTTATTTATTTATTTTTATTAAATGATAGCTGTGCACATTAATGTAATCACGGGGTACAGTGTGGTGTGGTGTTTTCATGTACAATTTGAAATATTTTCATCAAACTGGTTAACATATCCTTTATGTCATTTTCTTAGTTATTGTGTTAAGATGTTTATATTCTACTTTTAGAAAGATTCACTTGTACCCTTGTAAGATAAACTATAGAGGTGATCCCTCCAATCACCCTCCCTCCACCAATCCACCCCCTCCCCTCCGCTTAATGACTTTATTTTAATTGATGATGGTACCAGTGTTATTTACTATACAGGGAAAAATGTTTTATAGACACTTTTCTGAATCAGTTATTTAAATGTACATTGTCTCATGATTAAAAGAAGATATGATTTATAGTCCAAATATATGCAAAAATAGATACTCTTCCTCCTTACATTTCCTATTTTTGTTTAGGATGAAGGTACCATGTTTCCTGTTGGGAAAAATATAAAGTACACATGCAATGAAGGATACTCTCTTATTGGAGACCCTGTGGCCAGATGTGGAGAAGACTTACAGTGGCTTGTTGGGGAAATGCACTGTCAGAGTAAGTGGTCTCCGTCGTAGAGTGTAGAGTATAATTTAAGATGAGAAAATTATGTAGAATTCTTGAGTGTGTCAAGACGCACTTAAATTCTTCTTGTATGTGTCAAGAAGTAGCCACTCACCAAATGCCCCATGTCTTGCCTCCCTTTTTCTGAAAGACTGATATGATGCTGTCCATGTCGCAGGAGTGACTTGCATAAGCCTTCAGCCTTCTCTAGTTGGTAATGTTCCTATTCAGTGAAATCAATTTTATTGCAGTTGTAAAATTTCTGGTGCAAATTAAAATAGGCTAGGGGACTCTGTTAGGTAAACTCATTAGCATATGCTGTGGTGTTTAAAGACTAGGAGTGCACCATGAGCAATTATGTCCTTAAATGCCTTGCATCCCATTTTGTTCAGATAGCGACATCCGAATGAGAGCATTTGCATGTTGTACCACCCTAAAACTACTTCTTGATCTGTGGGACATATCTTTCAGGCCACCATCACAGTGAGGTCACTTTTTCCTCCTTATCCTCTGATCTGAAAAAGCAGAACAAATGTATCAACACTTTTAAGGCTCTCATTTAATAAAAAGATGGTTTAAAAAAGCAACGACCCTTATATTCTGCTCCCTTTTATCTTTAGAAATCGCCTGTGTTCTGCCTGTACTGATGGATGGCATACAGAGTCACCCCCGCAAACCCTTCTACAGCGTTGGCGAGAAGGTGACCTTTTCCTGTTCAGGTGGCATGTCTTTAGAAGGTCCTTCAGCTTTTCTCTGTGGCTCCAGCCTGAAGTGGAGTCCTGAGATGAAAAATGCCCGGTGTGTGCAAAAAGGTGAGCGGCTTGTGCGCCTGACTGAGGACAGGTGCACTCAGGCGAGTGAGAGTTCTTGTGGTGACCTTCATGGTACTACGTTATCGTAACTGAGTCATTGCCTCCATCCCTGCCCCCTTTGAGGAAGTCAGTTTATAGATTGGGTAACATTTTTTCTTTTTATCAAATGGTACAAAAAGACTCATGGAATGCCAGGAAAGGTAGGGATAGCTCTAGTGAGTCTGAAACATTTAACTTAAATCCTTCATGTGAAAGATGAGCTTTATATATGTTACGGTGCTGAGAAAATAAAGGATTTTTGGTAAAAGTGAAATAGCTTATGTGATCCGAAGGGAAAGCAGACTAATAAAGAATTTGAAAATGAATTTTTGGTTTTCTCCTGATTTTTTTTCCTGTTCTTTCACTAAGTACAGAATTGAGGTCATAATTTGTTTGAAATTCTTTTTTTTTTTCATTTTTGGACTCTTAGAGAATTTATTGGTATTTTTTAAATTGGAAATTGAAAAGGCATTTTCACTTAATATTGCAAAGCAGACATTACCGAAGGGAAAGAGTGGTGGTTTGTGAAGTTGTTCTTAATAATTGAAACCCCCAAATCCAGTATTTTGAACACCAGAGCAATTAAAATGGCTTTTAAGAACCTGAAGTAGGAAGGGATTCAAAAAGTGAAACTACTTCTTTTTGGAGATGATTTGTGATGAGGTGGATTTATTTTAAAATAACTTCCTATTTCTTCTTTGTTTACATTTGTTTAATAAGTGGAAATATATTGACAAGAAAAACAAGAATGAAGAAAAACTCACCTGTGTGTTATTTTATATAAAAGTCATGTATTTCTTTAATACATGACTTTTGAGCCAATGTTAGAATTTGTCTTTTATAGTAAGGATGGAGTCCTAGATTCTATGAATGATACTGTTAGGTGAATTACATGCTTACAACAAAATGCTCCTTGTGACAAAGCATGGTGGATGGGCACCCAGCATGCCCAGTGGAGTGACTCCTATGCCAGGACTGATAGGCCCTTTTGCTGTCAAGACCCCATATCAGAAGACAATTGCTTTGCTTTCTACATACATTAGAACATAAATATGAGTTTACTTGGGATATTTAAAGTAATAGACCTGTACCTCTAATTCTAAAATGAAAGAGCACAATATACAGTCGATGAGATGACACCTCTGTTCCACATGAGACGGTAGACTAGTCTTCTAAAATGCCTCAGTTATTTTACATAATTTCATATGAAGTTTCTCCCACTCAGTAACAAATTCTATTAAAGTTGGTTTTAATCAAGGATATTCTCCAAGTCTGTGTGTTTTTCTGAAGATGTGTATGACAATAATATCTACCCTTAAAATACGGCTATAACAAACAAAAACATCTAAGGTTTATCAGACTCCAAAACTGATACTTTAAAATACTGGCTATTTCTGTATTTAGCCTTTTCTTTTTTTATTGTGGTAAATGTTCATAACATGAAACTTACCATTTTAATCATTTGTTAAATCCAAAGTTCAGTGGCATTAGTTTCCATTGTTGTTCAACCATCACCGTCATCTACCTCCAGAATTTTTTCATTTTTCCAAACTGAGATTCAGTACTCGTTAGACACTAATCCCTCATTCTCCCATATGTTCATTATATTTTAGTCTTCTCTTCTCCTCTCCTCTTCTCTATCTTTCTTTCCTTTTTTTTTTGGAGACAGAGTTTTACTATGTTGCCCTCAGTAGAGTGCCTTGCCATCATGGCTCACAACAACCTCAAACTCTTGGGCTTAGGCTCAGTGACTGTAGCTCAGTGGCCAGGGTGCCAGCCACATACACTGGAGCTGGTGAGTTCAAATCTCGCCCAGCCTGCCAAACAACAATGTCAACTGCAACGAAAAAGAAAATAGCTGGGCATTGTGGCAGGCAACTATAGTCCCACTACTTGGGGGGCTGAGGCAAGGGAATCTCTTAAGCCCAAGACTTTGAGGTTGCTGTGAGCTATAATGCCATGGTACTCTACTGAGGGTGATTAAGTGAGTCTCTGTCTCAAAAAAAAAAAAAAAAAGAATAAAAAAAAGCAGAAAACAAAAAATATTCTTGGGCTGAAACAATTCTCTTGCCTCAGCCTCCGAAGTAGCTGGGACCATAGGTGCCCACCACAATGCCTAGTTATGTTTTGTTGCAGTTGTCATTGTTGGTTAGCTGGCCTGGGCCAGCTGTAAACAGTATGCTATAGGTGCCAAGCCCCTTTACTTATTTATTTATTTATTTTGAGACAGAGGCTCACTCTCTCCAGGTAAGAGTTGGTCCAGGTGAGAGTGTCATGGCCTCAGCCTAACTCTCAGCAGCCTCAAACTCCTGGGCTCAAGTGATCCTCCTGCCTCTGCCTTCTGAGTAGCGAGGACTGCAGGCACCTGCCACAGTGCCAGGCTAATTTTTTAAATTTTAATAGAGAGTAATTCTCCCATCTCAGCCTTCTAGGGTTCTAGGATTACAGGCATGAGCCACTGTGCTCAACCAGTATATTCATCTTGATATGAAGATATTTGGTTTTAAAATAGCAAAGGTATATACTCTCAGTGGACCTTAAGAATGTGTTTATTTGGTTAAACAAGCTATAGAGCTGACAAAGCTATATTCTTCTTAAATTAAAAAATATTTGCAGTTAAGGTTAATCTAGGTCCTGCTATCAGTGATTTTTCACAAGGAAATCATAGCAAACATTTGAACTTTAAAATTTCAAAATTTATCTGAAAATAAATTTCTAGTTATAGTGCAGAACTAATTTATGTGAATTGATATTAAATTTAAGTACATTTCGATTAAACCTTCCAAATCTCAATGTTATTGGAACTTGGAGCATGGGGGCCTATTCTGTGCGTTATAGCATGTTCAGGAGCACCCGTGGTATCTATCCACCAGATGCCAGTAGCATCCAGCAGGTGTGAAAATCAGAAATGTCCCAGGGAGGCAAAAAGGCTTCTGGTTGAGAAGCATTGAAGTCGACCAGTGTTTTCCCACCTTTTTTATCTCATGGCAGAAAAAGAACTTATAGTTAAGCTTCTATGGCACACTTAAATTATGTTGATCAAAAAAAGAGTAAAAAAATAATATACTTAATATGCTTTGAACTTCTTTTGAAATAATTTAATTAATGATCTTTAACAATTTTCATGACACAACTAAGTTCCCCTCCGGGCACACCAGTGTGCACACTCGTTGAAAAATCACTGATGTAGACAATACCACTTTAAAAAAGCATTTTATTTGGGGGTAATTTTAGATCTCAGAAAAGTTGCAGGTATAGTTTCTACACACCTTTCACTCATTCTTCCCATAATATTAACATCTTACAGAACTTCTCGCAACTTGGTTGGTTAAAACTAAGAAATTAATATACAATGCTATTGACTAGTTTTTTCACTAATGTCCTTTTTATGTTCTAAGATCCGATTCAGGGGAACACCACTGATGTTCAGGATAATGCCATTTTAAGATGAAGTGCTGAAAGTAAAGAATGAGGACTTGTCACAGAAATTGCTGGCCAAGCAGGCATGCTTCACATTGCTGCCATTTTTATAAGTTTATGGATTGTTCTTGAGATTATATTGTCATGTCTAAAGCTCTTAAATGTTCTAAAGTAAGGAAGTGTTCCATAGCTTGTATATCAAAAACAGGCTCTTCAGATATATATAAATGAGCGCCTACTTTTATGATGCAAAAGTGTATCCCAATGAATTTCATTGTAATGAAGCTGGTAGGGAGGTGAAAAATCCCACGGTTATTATTCCCATTATAGTCAGGGCTAGCCGAGGCAATGGTAGTCCAATTATGCCTTTCCAGGCAGGACCAGGGTGTTTTCCTGTCAAAACTAGAATGAGGGTTGACTTCTTATTAGTTTCTATAAAATGCAAAGATGAGAAAGAATTTTATTAATGTACGAATGCCTCCAGACATCCGCTCCCTGTTGAGGGAGACCATTTGCACATAAGAGGTTGCTGCAAATCTCCTCGGGGCCCCAGGGGGTTCTCTTCTTTGTGGATCCATCAAGTTATGTCGCTGCTTTCTGTCCCATTCTAGGGACAATGGGCAAATTTGAACCCAAACTCCAAACCGTTTATAGACACCAACTTTTTGAAAGAGAGCCCCTTTACTGGTCTTGGATTCAGATAAATGGGGACTTAATTCCTGGCTTCACCAATGTGTTGAACCTATGAATTAACACCAGTTTTCTAAGTTTTCTGATGTTTAGTTTTCTCATCTCTTAAATGGGCATTTTTTAGGGAAGCTTAAATATCCAAATGTATAAAAAGCGCACGACCAGTTGTAAATGCTCAAGAAATAGTAGCTATTATTACCAGGGCGATTGTTGGTAGAGTGTTCCCGGGAATACCTTGTCTTGAAAAGGCTTTACAGATTTACTATCATTTTGTTACTATGTAGATTCATTGTACTTGAGAACATTACAGACCTTGCTTCACTGCTTCAATAATTCAAATAATACCTTGTCTACGGTGAAGAATCTCTTCTAACAATCGCATCGCCCTTATCTTTTTCTTTTAGATGCTCCTTTAACACAAGCCGTGCCTGGATGTCAGCGCTGGGAGAAACTGCAGAATTCAAGATGTGTTTGTAAGATGCCCTATGAATGTGGGTAAGAACTGCTTTCACTCACTTCTCTGTTTTATTTTATTCAAGATAAATGGGATGATAGATTAGATGTCTCCGTTAGATTGAACGTCTTGCTTACCAAGAGTTGAGGGTCTTTGCGTTTTCATCTGCCCGTTATTTGTCTGTCTCACCAGGGCTGACATCTGTGGCATAAAGCAGTGGTCTAATCTGGCTAATGATGAGGGCACTATTTGGACACTGCTTGTGTTATATATAAAGTGGAGCAAGACGACAAAACTGTCACCTCGGATTTAGAGCTTTAGAGGATTAGAGGTGCAGTTCTTTGGGGACATAAGCTCTTAAGGCAACATAGAGAAAAGAGCATCTACTTTTCCTGATTCTTGAGCATCTTCTCTCGATTTGCATGATAAAATTGCCACCGACTTGAAATTACTCCGTTGTAGGAGGAAATCCGAAGTAGTTATGAGAAGTCTGTGTCATGATCACAGAGGATACCATTAAATTAGGTCAAGAAGAGGTTTATTAGCAGGACTAATTAAAAAGTGAGCCGAGCAAAGGAAATGACTAGCCTCAGGGCAGTCCTGGACTGGTCACAGCTGGGCCACATGTCCACACCCAGGCCTGAAGGAGTGCAGAGGGGTGGTCAGGAAACCCCGGAGACAGCCAGGGCTCTGTAGAGATGGCCCTGAGAAAGAGCTGACATTTGTTTTAGGAACCTCAGAGACTCCACAGTCGTGAGCTGGGGGAACAAACATGCCAGGAGCACTTTCCCCCCTTCTTGCAGTCTCCTGTCTGTGCTTCCACATGATCAAATCCCCGAAACTGGAGGATGAGGAAGCCCAGGCTGTGGTCCATACACACCAGTCTTCCAGGCAGGTGCAGCAGAGCTGCTGGGGGGTGGATCTGGAGAGGAAACAGGTGATCTCTGGCCCCCAAATTTACTGATTAATTTTAAGGTCAAATTGCTAAGTGTAGAAGATAAATGTCTTAACAGAATAACACAATAATTAATAAATGTCTTAACACAGAAAATGCTGTGAAGGCTATGTTAACCAGTTTGATGAAAATATTTCAAATCGTATATAAAACCAGCACATTGTACCCTATCATTGCATTAATGTACACAGATATGATTTAATAATAAAAAAAGAATCAACACAAATATGAATTTGCTGATAAATTTCTTGGCTTTTAGTTATTATGGTCATCAAAACCCTTATTCAACTTCTTGAACCTACAGGAGGTAGGGATCTTATATAGTAACTTCTGACATGCTGAAGAACATGACTAAATGGTATGAATGGAAATTGTGGTCAGCCCAGACACTTTCTGATTTTGATGTCCTGGCTCTGCTGCTATTCTCAAATAACCACTGTTTACTGTGATTCATTCTCATCCTTTCTAACTTCCCCAGTTTATTTATCTTCAGTCTCTTGTTTGTAGACATGGTATAAGCTTTCATGTCATTTCATGGTCTCAGGTACTGATAACAAGGTAGTATTTTAAAGTCTCTGCCCTTTCAGCTGCTCTGAGTAGTTCTATCTAAAGTTTAAATGAACAGATCAAAAGATAGATTTGTTTCTGTTATATTAATAACTCTAAGTAAATTTAGCTCTTGGTCAAAGAGGAAAATATTAGAACTAAATAAAATATGTGAATATAGACTCTGACTCCATCTGGAATATAAAAATGATTTGTTTTCTAAACTTTCACGTTTAGCAATTGGTGCCCTTATCCATCAGCGCTGGAAATGTGGGTTTTTTAACTAGTG